TATTTAGTGACAAGGATCGTCTTCTAGTCTATTGTGCGTCTATCTCTGTCTTTCGTGATAGTTGTAATATATGAGCTTTTTGTTGGTAATAGATATGGAACCATCCTGGGATCTTGCAACTAAGAAAAGATGACAAAGACTATGAGAGACGTGGAGATGCCATTGAGAATTTTCTTGCAGATGACAGCTCTAGTGACGAAAACATTGATTATAATTTGGGTTTTGGAGGTATTATATACAATGTCAATTTGGGTGAATGTATATTCACGTGTTTGGCAGCAGTTCTTATAAGTATCTAACAAGGGTAACATATCGTGCTTTGCAGAGAAAAATGTGAATGAAATTTTGCCAGGAAAAAAAGATGACATTTTTCGAAAGGTATGGATATGAACAAACTATAATGTTATAGAAACAGAAAACTTCCTCTGTAAGTTTTCTGATTGTATTGAATAGAATAATCAGTTACACAGATGTGAATATATATAGCCTTAGCTGCCTTAGTCTAATTACAAGAATACCCTCAACTATCTTAACTAATTACAGTAACTAACATAACTGATTACATTTAGCTTTATCATACTACTTAACAGTAACTACAGTAGATGACTTGTCATTTGCCCTATTACACCCCCTCAAGCTAAAAGAGGAATCAGTGAGGATTCCAATTGGAAGCTTGGAACAGAGAAAAGAGAACCTGTTCTTGGACAAAGATTTGGTGTGAAGATCAGCCAATTGGTCTTCACTACAAACATATTGAACTTTGATGAGATTTGCAAGAACCAACTCTCGGATATAGTGATAGTCAATCTCAACATGCTTGGTTCGAGCATGAAAAATAGGATTAGAGGCTAAAGAGATTGCAGAAATATTATCACACCATAGGGTAGGTAGAGTAGGAAGAGGGAAATGAAGATCCTTGAGAATTTTGCAAACCCAAGTGAGTTCTGCTGCAGTATGAGCTAAAGAACGATATTCAGCTTCTGTAGAGGAACGAGCAACAGTGCTTTGTTTCTTTGCACTCCAGCTGATGAGATTAGGGCCAAGAAAAACACAATATCCACTGGTAGACCGCCTGTCAAAAGTGCAGCCAGCCCAATCAGCATCAGAGTAAGCTGAAAGGGCGAGGGTACCTTTAGTAAACCATAACCCATGAGACAGAGAACCTTTAAGAAATCTGAGAACCCTTTTTGCTGCTTGAAGGTGTTGTTCTCGTGGAGCATGCATAAACTGACAGATCTGATTAACAGCAAATGCAAGATCCGGGCGAGTCCAAGTGAGATATTGTAGTCCACCAACTATGGAACGATATTCAGTGGGATTGGATAAGAGAGGCCCACTGTGGTCCAGCTTTTGAGACCCGAGAGGAGTGCAACAAGGTTTGGCACCTTCCATATTTGTTTTCTTGAGGAGGTCAAGTAAGTACTTAGTTTGATGAAGAAAGAGGCCATTGGAAGACCTGTTAACTTCCAATCCCAAGAAATAGTGTAAAGGGCCAAGATCTTTCACTGGAAACAGATTACTAAGTTGCTGGATAAAATGTTGACAGAGTTGAGAATCAGGGCCAGTGACTAGGATATCATCCACATAAACAAGAACAATGACTTGTTGAGGACCAGGAAGGACAAACAAGGAAGCATCAGATTGGGATTGGTGAAACCCAAGAGTATGAAGGGCGTGAAACAACTTATCAAACCAAGCTCGAGGAGCTTGTTTAAGACCATATAAGGATTTCTTCAGCTTGCAAACAAAATGGGATGAATTGGAATCAATAAAACCTGGGGGCTGTTGCATGTAAACATCCTCCTTTAAGTCACCATGAAGAAAGGCATTGCTAATGTCTAACTGATTCAAGAACCAATTAAATTGGACAGCAAGTGCAAGAAGAATTCGAATGGTAACTGGTTTTGCAACAGGACTGAAGGTTTCTTGAAAATCAACCCCTTCTTGCTGATGAAATCCTTTTGCCACCAAGCGGGCTTTGTGTTTGTCAAGAGTGCCATCAGGATTTTTCTTAACCCGGAAAACCCATTTACAACCAACTACATTTTGAGAAGGATGAGGAGGAACAAGAGACCATGTTCCTGTGGAGATTAAAGCATTATATTCAGCTTGCATGGCAGCTCTCCAGTGAGCATGCTTTGATGCTTGCAGATAGGTACTAGGAACAAGGTCAAGATCAGCAGGGAGTGGATGTTTGGTTGCTGAATAAGCCCGAGACATGTTTATTCCAGCCTTAGATCTTGTAATCATAGGATGTGTATTCACAGAAAGTGGTGGATGACTTGTCTGAAGAGGTACAAGAGAGGAATTACTGAGAGAGACAGAACTGGATGAACTAGAAGGATCCACTGACTGAGTGCATGAAGGAACTGCAGGGGGAGGTGGAGGTGGAGGGGCAGAAGGACATGATGAGTCTGAAGAGGTACTAGGTGTAGGAGAACTTGAGACATAGTGGCGGAAGTGAAGATCCAAGGATGGAGAATAGAATAATCAGTTACACAGATGTGAATATATATAGCCTTAGCTGCCTTAGTCTAATTACAAGAATACCCTCAACTATCTTAACTAATTACAGTAACTAACATAACTGATTACATTTAGCTTTATCATACTACTTAACAGTAACTACAGTAGATGACTTGTCATTTGCCCTATTAGGTTTGTAACCTTGTATTCATTTTTCACTTCTTTACTAATTCTTTTACGGTCTATTTGGCTTAATTTGAAATGCTCCATTTTTTTGTATTTTAGTAGGAAAACTAATAAGAATAAAGGCTTTACTTTGTAGTTTGTGTTACTATTGTTGTTTTCGTGGAGCGTAATGCTGACTAGTGACCATTTATCACTTTTCAGGATTGGTGGAATGATCTTCTCCATGAAAATGACTATAAAGAGCTTGATTACAGTGGTAAAATGGTACTCCTGCTTGACATTCTAGCTATGAGTTCTGATGTGGGGGATAAGGCATTGGTATTTAGCCAGAGCATACCAACCCTTGACCTCATCGAACTTTATCTTTCAAGGCTACCTCGACATGGGAACAAGGGGAAGTTTTGGAAGAAAGGAAAAGATTGGTACAGGTTGGTACATATTACCGAGAACAATTTACAGTTTGACAGACAGCTTAGCTTTTCTTCTCAGCTTCAGTGTTGCCCCAAACCATGTATCCTTTTTGTTACTCTATTTCCTGCATATGTAGCTGCAGTGTCTTTTGTATAAAAGTTTTTATTTGGGTTATGTCGTTTTTACTAGATTCTTTATTGCTCCAGGCTAGATGGGAGAACAGAGGGCTCAGAAAGGCAAAGACTGGTGGAACGATTTAATGATCCCCTGAATAAGAGGGTGAAATGTGTTATAATCTCCACCAGAGCTGGATCGTTAGGGATAAATCTCTATGCTGCTAATCGTGTAATAATAGTTGATGGTTCTTGGAATCCAACATACGATCTTCAGGCTATATATCGTGCTTGGAGGTGAGTTTCAATTTTCTATTGCAGTCCTTAACTCAGTTTTTGTTTAGTAAATGTTCCTTGATAATGTAGTTTAGGGGCTATATAGCATTAGCGAGGGTTTGTTTTAGGATTTCCATACAACTTCAAATGTGCCAGACTGCAAGCCTGATGATATTCCTCCTTTACCAAGCCAACTTTCCATTCTCCTGTATGGCACATTGTAAATGATATGTTATTTCCATTTTCAGGTACGGCCAAACAAAGCCAGTGTTCGCTTACAGATTGATGGCACATGGAACTATGGAAGAAAAAATTTATAAGCGTCAGGTAACGAAGGAGGGCCTGGCTGCAAGGGTTGTTGATCGACAACAGGTACATAGGACAATATCTAAGGAAGAGATGTTGCATCTTTTTGAATTTGGTGATGATGAGAATCATGTGCTTGACCAAGATAGCGTATTCTTGAACGACAATGTGACTGGTAAAGTGGAAATTTTGCCGAAACACGTAGTGCCTCTTTCTCAAGGAAGTTGCTTTTCTGACAAGCTGATGGAAAGTTTACTTGGCAAGCATTCTCCAAGGTACATTCCCGTTCTATGTTCTTATTTTCTTTAGCTTCTGTCGGTAACGGTAATTGCCTGTTACTCTGCCTCAATTGACAACTCATACCTCCCTCCCTCCCTCCACTTACGTATGAACTACCTTGTTTTCAGTTGGATCGCAAATTTCCACGAACATGAGACCCTTTTGCAAGAGAACGAAGAAGAAAAGCTCACAAAGGAGGAGCAAGACATGGCTTGGGAAGTATACCGGAAATCATTTGGATGGGAGGAAGTGCAGAGAGTTCCTCTCAATGAATCTGCAGTCGACCAAAAACCCGCTGTATCAAATACTGCCTCATCTGCACCAACGAAGAGCATCCTTGCTGAATCCACGGTTAAGAATGCTTTTGTACAGCGGAAGTGCACTAATCTTTCGCATTTGCTGACGCTAAGAAGTCAGGGCACGAAACAGGGTTGCAGCACCGTGTGTGGGGAATGTGGCCGCGAGCTGAGCTGGGAGGAGCACAGTCGAGATAGCAGGCTCAGGTAAACGATATTTCCTTCTGATTTGTTCTCGTAGTTTTTTCCGATGTAAAGTTCCGATTGTATATCGCGTTTGCTGTGAGTTCATTGCCCCTTTGACACCAAAGAAACAGGCTTGTGTAAATCAAAGTTACAACAATGAAATGAGCAGTCAAAATCTTGAAAGTTTTTCCTGTCCATGAATTTTTCGTGATTTTTTCTTAATTAATTAATTAATGTGTAATTATTCTGTACACATTTCTTTATTTGTCCATGCTCTTTTGTTTTATTCAATGCAAAGGCGAGAAAAAGAAAGTACGGAGGAGAAAATTGAATTTTGGGGATGTAAAAAGAAAAGAGAAAAACGAAATACTTCATGAATTTTCTAATTCGTATAAATTTATGGCAAATTTAGCCAATTTGATCACCGTGTTTCATAATAATATCGGTTTCTTTCGAATCTGTCCCATTTCGGATTAACATGTAAACTTTAAGCAGTGGTCAATGCCATTTGTTTTAACTCGTTTGACATGGAAATTGGAATTCCGTACAACGCCCTTTGTAAATAGCCGATCGAGTTCCTTCACCCCTCCCGGAAGAGATTTTCGGGGTCCCTACCGGACTTTTTTTTCCGATGATAATAAATACATCTGGCATGGTTCGACTAATGGAACAAACCTTTCGTAGTAGGGCGGCGTTACTTCCCGCCTCACGCTATTGCTTGTTACACAAGAAATTTGTTTACAACGTTGTTTCACACAAAAGTAGTTAAGATGACAATTTTGCTTGGAGAGCTAGCATCTTTCATCTCCTAACCAATTGTCCTTCTCCTTAGGGCCAGTTGGTCCTTCCTCCCCGTAGAGTTGCGTAGGAAACAACTCGATTAAGTTCTCGACCGAGAATCGAACAAAGAACGGAAGACGATCAATCAACTTATCTAGTTCCTCTCGTCCATCATACACAATGGTCGGACCCCAGTCTCGCATATACTGCAACCAACATGGTTCGGATATAACGCCTTTGCCAAGGTACTCGGCCGCGACAATTTGATACTTGGTGCTCGAATCAATGAAAAACTTGCTCCGAGCAGCGTCATTCCTTACCCCTATGTCAAACTTCGATGAACCCTGGAGGTAAGTCCCGGGATGAGCGTAACTGCTATGACCGTGTTTTGAAGAATACACAATCGGCTTATTGCCTTCAATGAACTCCAAGTCAAAAGCATCCACCCATCTGCCACCGCTGTGCTCTGAGAAGTACACTTGCCAGAGTTCTCCGGTGAAGTTGTTCACTCGGAGAGTGAAGTGCTCCCAGTCACCGACATGTTCGCCTATCTTGTTCAATGCAAAACTTACCAAACCAATTTTAATGGCGGATGGTCCGTTGAAGGGGCAGAACACCCACATGGCAATATCTGTAAAAGTTCCTCCCAGTGCTGGTTTTACATGAACGTATAGCTCCGCGCTGTCTATGTTTCCAGCCTTGATAAGATTTTTAACTTCATCGTCATTTGGCAAATCTATCCAAAAATCACTGTCATTTTCCCCTCCACCAGGCAAATTGGAGCCTCTGTGATCAATCGGTTCACCATTCCCAGTGTCTTCCCGGTACAAAAGTGCCCCATTTTTGAAAAACCATTGTACCGAAGATGGCATATAAACCTCATTAGGATGGAAGAACACTGTGGGACCGTAGTGCTCAATTAGCGAATGAATCTGGTTCAGATTTGGCATTGCGTGCAAGGACGAATCAAAATTCTTCAAGCAAGAAACTTGTAGCTCTTCATTAGAATCCAAGTAGGTACTGCAAAAGAATGTACCCACCGGAACACCAGTGCAAAACATACCCCGTTTGCAGGGTCGTGTATTCCACACCTCAAATTTTGAATCCATTGCAAGTATCCGATCACTTGTTTCACAAGTCTCTGTAAGATCTTCTCGTACGCATCTAACTTCTTCGGGGCTGGGTTCCTCAGGCATGTCAGTGACCACAAAACCCATGGCCTTATAACCAACAGGTGGGTTTGGCAACCAAATATAACCACAACCATTTTCACTTAAATCTGCATTGCAGACTAACGAGTAGTTAACCGGTTTTTCTAAAGCTGGTAACTCTAATGCTGAGTCCGGGGTACAACCATCTTCCGCCCTTCTGGCAACTGTTTCACGAGCCACAAGAACATACCCTTGCAATGGCTGGTCATTGGGCTGGCAGTAGTAACCGAGGCAAAAGAAGCCATCAGGGATCCCTGCAGGTCTATAAAATGTGACACCCTTTGATTTTCCACGCAACAGATTGCAGCTCCAGATGCTCTCAAACTTGGTTATTTGGCTAACTTCAATTTCTCCGAGGCGTATTCTTCCAGTAGCAAATCCTTCGCCTGAAGAAATGACAGTACACATTGTTCAGAAAATGAGCTCATAATAACACATTAACATTTATCCGATGACAGTAAAATCTTAGCATAACATTCATGTTCTAGGTTTATTAGTTATAATCTTTACTTTCCACTTGGACCTGAGTATACACAGAAAAATCAACCTATACAAATATCAACGAAACTCGAAATCAAGCTCCTATGATGCAGTTTGGAGGCAAGCTTCAAACATTTTACATTAACCTTCAGTCAAGGAAGAATTTAGAACTTTAGAGATACCTTCAAAATTCGACACTTTAAAAACAAACATTGGAGATCACCAAAAGTTTATGGGCTCATTTGTAAGTGCTTTTAAAATAACTAAAAGCGCTTTTGGTAAAAGTGAGCATTGAATTCCAAAAGCACTCGAAGTGATTCCTGTGCTTCAAGTGCTTTTCCAAAATTTACTTGCATTTTTACTAAGGTTTAGATCCAAAAGCACTTTCAATCATTTTAAAAAGCATTTTCCAACAAACCCTAGCATTGACCTTTTTTTTGGTAAAAAGAACATTGAAGCTTTCAAATTCCAAGAACTTCAATTTCCATGGCTTTTCAGAGTCTTTCAAATATTGACCAAGTTAATGAATTTGAGTGTATTTTTAAGTAGTCTCTCACATGATTGATTGCCGTTATATGAGTGTGATCTGATCTATTTACTACACGTGACCTTGATTACCATTGCTAATTAAGGATGAAGAGTAAAAATATTTCCCAGGTAAACATGAATTTATTTAAATAAAACAAAGTTGGACCACCAAACATTGAAAAACAAAAAAAATTGAGAGAAATGCATATGGGATCAAAGAAATCATGAGTCCAAAAGGATATCGGAGCAATTAGTAGTGAAACCATTTATTATCCGTCCTATTATTTTTACATTCTTCAACAAATACAAATTAGCAATTTCATGACTTCAAGTTGCTGAAAAAAATGAGCTAAAACAAGACATAAAGCCTTCAATTCTTGAAGAAACAGAGAAAAAGAAAGAAACCCATCAAAAAAGCAGTTGCGAGAGATAAGTGATGCAAAAGTGCTTTTTGTTTAGGAAAGAAAGGATCTTGGTGGGAAATATTACCTTGAGGCCAGTGTGGAAGAGGTGAAGGCAGAGAGAAGGGCTGTGGCTCTGAGTAATCATACAATTGGTACTCACTGCCGCTCCACCACCAACACTCACAACCCAACATCTTCACTCTCTCAAATTCAAAAACCCACAAAAGCACTTCCAAGATTTCTGCTTTTCACTCACCCTCTCAAGTTTCTCTCTGCATCCATGTTTCCGAAATATTTTAGAGAGAGAAAGGAAATAGCTTTCTTTCTTTATTTCTCTCTCTACACTTGGGACTTGAGAAGAGAGAGAGAGAGAGAGAGAGAGAGAGTTGAAAAGAAAAGAAAAAGAGGTTGAGTGAATTCAGAGGAAGCTTTAGAGAGAGGGGAAAAGGCAGGAGCTGATGGAGGTTGGCTTGGTTTACTTTGTTGTCTGCTTTTGCGTAAGAGCCTTATACTTGGAAGGCGTTGGTTTCAAGCTTCTACCTTTTTCTTCGTTAATTTTTCGGAAGCCTTTTATTAATAAGGATACCTGTGTTTTGGAAATAATTTATATGACACGAGTATATTGTCACATACTATCTCGTGTTGATAAAACAAAAAGATAAGAATAAAAATTTAACATATCTTTATTTTACCAACACTAGTCATTCTTCTCACTCTCTTCGCTCATGCTCACTATTTATCTTATGAGATAGGAATCCATCTAGTAACTCATAAATATGAAAAATGAGAAAAGAGCTTTTAATTTAAATAATTAATTTTTATTAACTAATTATTGACGGATAGTTACTTTTAAAAGTTGAGAGTATGATTAGAGTATAACTTTTTTAAAGAGATCATAAATTAACATTTCGATAATCTTAGCTGAAATTTTTTACTTAAATTAAAGAGTGTGGTTGGAAACGATCTAACCATTTTATGATGTTTAAAGACCAAGAGAACTCCAAGTAATTTAGGGGTAGAAGTTGAAATTAATCAAAGTCTCTACCTTTTTCTTATTCTCAAATTAATGTTTTTGCATATTATATGCAACAAATCATAAACCTTTATAACTTTTACATTACCATTAATATCTCAGTGCACTTACCATACCCTTAGATGATTTGTAAAAATAATTTTTTAGGAATATCCTCCAGGTGGCAGAATATTCTTTGTTTTTTGTGCATTTTACAGATTTTTTTTTAGAGCATAAAAAATTACAAAATTTTGTAAAATAAAGTCAAGAGGTGACCAAACCTCAGACAAAATGGAGAGTGAGGATACAGAATGATGGGTCATAACTTGAATGGTCGCCGACTCACCGCTTTAATGAGAAATTTTTAATGTACTTCGAATACAATCAATACATTATGTGTCATAATATACGTAGAAAGACGGTAAAAGATATTTTTTTCTTCGTTTCTGTTATGACAAGGTCTACTCCTAATTCTAATCAAGCTTTTGTTCTATTTCTCATCCACAATCATAAACAACTCAAAGGCATTCAATATCTAATGATTGACACCTAATTTATATATGAATAATGTGGTAGTTGATGATTAGATTATTATTTAAATATTAATTAACGTGCTTCTTTTAATTGATGATATATAATTTGATTTGCAAATTTAGTTTAAAAATTTGGTCTCTCAATTATTATATTTTACATATAGGTTTTTGTAACGCTACCAAGCTAAGCTTTTCAAAGAGCACTTATGTGCACGTTAAATATTGTTTGGTTGGTTTGTAAGCGCTTTTAATGAAATTTTATTTGAATTTAATTCTTAATAAAAATTCAAATGAATCATTGAGAACACTTTAAGTATTTCTCGTAAGAAACACATATTTTGTGTTTTTAAGAAAAAAAAAAACCACTGCTTTAATCAACCATTTATTTCAACTAAGGCCATAGATAAGATAAGCACTCAGTTATACGTGGAGATGTTTTTTTTTGGCGACGAAGAAGGTTGCTTTTGGCTTTGTTTGAGAGTTGCCCTTTCACTTTCATGCTATCCCATCAAATCGGCTCCATTTTTAAGTTCAGCATTATTATTTCTTGCCTACCAGCATTATTATTATAAAAGGTTTAACAAAACACTCTCGTACTATTCATTTTTAACGAAAACCCATATTTATACTTTTTTCTATTAGTATTCACTATACCTTTAAAAAAAACTTTTTATTAAAATGGAAGTTTTTTTAGATTTTTTGTTAGTTTTTCTTATTATTATTTGTCTTCCAAATATCTAAAGACATCCCTATCTTCAATTCCAAACCACGTGTCATAATATGTACTTGTCAAGTGTCTTAGGATTTTTCAAAGTGGGTTCATTTTTGCTCACGACTTCGAATCTTGATGGTGGAAAGATTTTTCAATTTGACAAATGGGCTGACACACCACATATCATTATATTATTATAAATTAGAGAAACACTTGAAAAGTAAAACTTCTCTCCTCTTACAATGTGATGTACCATCTCCTATTTCGAGCACACTTGAAAAATTTCTCTGAGTGGTGGTAGTACTCATCACTCGTTTGGAAGTGTTTTTCAAATAAATGAAAGCGTTTTTGGTGAAAATGTTTTGAAACCAACCCTTAATAAAATTCAACTGGATCATAGAAAATCACTTGAAGTACTTCTTGCAAGAAGCATATATTTGGTGATTTTTCCAAAAAACACATAAAGTACTTTTTGGACCTAAAATCAATTTTACCAAAATTGCTAAATCAACTTCACAAAAATTATTTTCAGTCATTTAAAAACATTTTCAAACGAGTTTAGAAGTTAATGAGAAAAATATTTCATTTGGCGTGGAATTGGCACCAAATAATTTAATTGATTAAAAGTCTAGACCGGCCACATCGGACATCAAATATTGAAAAGTAATATAAGTTGCCGAAAAACGTTACACAATATGTCATGGTCGGCAAAAGTTTGATATTGATTCCACCACCAACAAATAATGGAGGATTTTAGCAATGCTTTCATGTATTTTCTTTTGATTTGTTTCTCCAACCTTTAATTTGGTTTCGAGACTCCGTATTTTTTGAAAATGGTCAATTTATAATATATCATCAAATTTGTCGATTGAGATTATTTTCGTTTATTTAAGAAGAAAAAGAGAGAGCATATAATGTGAAAATTTTGTCCCTTAAATATAAAATCACACATCTTATAAGATTAGGATTGCTAAAAATCAAACTTGAGATCGACCGGACATATCAGAAGAAGGTTACGAGATTTAGGAACATAGATAAAGTTTTCTCATTTTTATCACAAATAATGATATTCTTATGAAATCTAACATGATAAATTTGGTGAATAACGCTTTATTGCAATAGCATAAGACAATTATGCCTATACATCTTGGTGCAGATTCGATCCTCCCTCATTATTCTCTTCGTAACAGCTAACTATTTGACTCATTATTTCTATTGTGGTACTAAAAAAATGACAAAATTGATTATATTGGGCCTTATTTGTCCAGCACAAAATTTGGGCTGATGACCCAAATACTTTTGGGCCGTTGACCCAAACTTGAAACCCTCTTTCAGTTCTCGCTCCTCACTCCTTCTCCAGCTTCCTCTGCATTTTCTAGTCAATCCATTTCCCACCGGAAAAACCAACACCAACAAACAATGGCTTCCACCTCCAGCTCCAACTTCACTCCTTTCCGATAGCCGCGTCACCATGGACTCCGTTCTTGCCCTCCGCCCCCTCCCCAGCTGCTTCGCGCCGTCCCGAAATCCCCGCTTCTCAAGTTTCGCCGCAAACCGCCGCATCAAAATCCAAACTTTCGCTTCGAAATTCCCGAAAACCCCCCGAATTCCACTATCGATTCCGCACAATACCCGCCTTTTTAGCCTTCTAGAAGCTTCCAGAAGTGTCGGCTCCGGGGAAGAAGAAAGGCCGGCTCTTTCCGCCGAACGCATTGTCAGGCAGGTAGTGTTGGGGCTGTTCTGCTTTGTTTTCGGGTTTGCGCAGCTTCGGGTGGGTCGGGGTGTTGCGGTCGCGGCGCCGCTGGTTTCGGAGGCGGTTTTGGATAAGGAGGAGGTGAATTATGAGTACTCGGAGTATACGAGGAGACTGTTGGAGACGGTGGGTGTGTTGCTGAAGAGTGTAGATGAGGTTAGAGGAGGAAATGGGGATGTGAAGCTCGTCGAGGCGGCATGGAAGGCAGTGAGGGGGAAGAAGGATGAGTTGCAGGACGAGATATTGGGTAGGCTCCATGGGGAGCTTAGGGAGTTGAGGAGGGAAAAGGAGGGGCTGGTGAAGCGGTCCGACGAGGTTGTGGCCGAGGTGGTGAAGGTGAAGAGGGAATTGGAGAAGTTGGCAGGCAATGCGGGTGAGGAGAAGGCGGAGGAGATGGAGGAGAGGATGGAAGAGAGGCTGGGGAGTCTGGAGGAGGAGTATAATGGCATTTGGGAGAAGGTTGGAGAGATTGAGGATCGGATTTTGAGGCGAGAGACAGGGGCATTGAGTTATGGAGTGAGGGAACTTTGTTTTATTGAGAGGGAATGTGAGCAGTTGGTTCAGAGTTTTACCCGCCAAATGAGGAGGAAGAATCTTGAGAGGTATTCATTGCACAGTCATATTTATGTTCATGAATTCGAATTGGACTGGAAGTTGTATAATTTTTTATCCTGTAAATTAGTAATTCTTGGTGAAATTATGATGTCGAAAGTGATTAACTTATCGAAGTTTAGTTGATATCTTAGTTGATGTACTGCTTACTGTCTGTACGCATAATTCTTTGCCGGTGGATTTGATAAAATTGCACACTAATTCATATTTTTCTCATTTCGCAATGTTTTGCTTGATTGGATGCTTTTTATTCAACTTTGAAAGTAATATCTTTTGAGAAAAGGAAAAATTAGTAATCAATTTCGTCGTGTGAGTATCAATTGTTATGTGGTTGCAGTGTGCCAAAAGACTCGGTTACCAAGCTTTCTAAATCTGATATACAGAAAGACTTGGAAAATGCACAAAGAAACAATTTGGCGCAAATGATTCTGCCAAATGTTGTGGAAGTTGACGATCCGGGACCTCTCTTTAATTCGACAGATTTTGCTAAACGTATAAAACAAGGCCTTAAAGATTCAAGGGAGCTGCAAAAAAAGACTGAGGCTCAAATAAGGAAAAATATGAAGAAGTTCGGCAGCGAAAAGCGTTTTCTTGTAAAAACACCAGAGGATGAGGTGGTGAAGGGATTTCCGGAAGTTGAATTGAAGTGGATGTTCGGAGATAAGGAGGTTGTGGTTCCGAGAGCTGCTGGCCTCCATTTGTTCCATGGGTGGAAGAAGTGGCGTGAAGATGCTAAGGCAGACCTTAAAAGAAATCTATTAGAAGATGTTGATTTTGGTAAACAGTATGTGGCCCAGAGACAGGTCGTTTTTGCATCCTCTTCATTGTTGTCATTTTTTTTGTAAATTTTCT